ATTTATTTTGCACAATTTATTTTCAATCCAAAATTTAAAATGTCAAGTTCCCCTTTCCTCTGTTTCAACAGAATGAAATTCTAATCTCTACACTCAAAAGTGTCACTTTAATCTATTTCCGAGTAGCATATCTTTCTTAAAGCCTACAACATTTCCACTGAAAACTTTTAGAGTCTTATTGTGTTTAAACACAATACGTGTAAATGATGTCATCTCTTGTGATATATCTGTCCTAGGGATTTAATGAAATTAATCTTGGAACAATTATATCCAGACTTTATGTCAGAGATACAGCACTCCTATCTGGATTAGCCTTTATTGAAGTTATTAAAAATGCACCTAGGTAATTTCAAGTCAATCATGTGAATCATTTACCATACATATAATCTCATATCTTGGGAATTCATGAAATTAGATGTCACAAGCCATGACTACAATCTTTTTTAAGTTAAAAACGAAAATTTTAAATACTAGTTATAAGAAAGGACAATATATAAAATTACCAGCCTAGGGGATCACACAAATACTTCACAGATTTATCTTTTCAAACAATTCCTGTGTCCTTTATCAAAAAATGAGCAATAAAGAATTTGCTTTCCTTTTCAGTAACGATTGCCTATGTGTTCTCACACATCAAAGGAGACTAAACTAGCAGGCTGAGCCACATTACAGCGCTATAAAGGAATGGAAATCAGAGTGAACAAAAGGACTACAAGACAGAACTTTGTACACACACTTGAACAAGGAGATACCACCCAAATCCTAAGTAAAATAGCTTTGGGTTTTTAGCAAATTATACGGTGACAGCATTAATGTTTCATGACCTTCCATAGCTTATAATTAGATCTTTAATAACAAAAACTTAGTTTGACACACAGATAGAAACAGTGAGAACGGAGATATGGGGAGAAGTTACAGAATTGAATAGTAAAAACCAACATCCGTGTGTTCATTTACCTTCTTATTTAGCCAGTGCCAGAGCTTGAGGATGGAGGTAAGGTGAGAAAGAGAAGATAAGAACAGTGGAATATCATTAGAGAATGCAATAATAAAAGTATGAAAAGAAAAGAAAGTCACTGAGAGCATGAGGAGGTTATCGCAGATAAAAGAAAAACTAGGAAAAAACTGTAATGCATTAACCATGTTTTTAAATTGACTGAATGTATTATTCCTTTAAGATACACAATGATTACAATGATGATGACCACAGCTTTACTGGCAATTCTACAATTAAAAATACCTAAAATAACCTGAAAGCTTGTGAGCTTATTAAATCGTCACTTTGACCAAAGTCCAAAGGTCAGAGTAATAATCAGGATCCTTACACTGATCATGCACCAAAAGAATTTTTAGTTTCTAGATAAACGAATTCATCTTCAGATACTGCATTTTCACCGAACTTTGTAGTTGCAGCTTTACAGTATTATTTCACATTTTTTAAAGAGTAAAATATTTCAGTGCTCATTTGAAACAGGACACCTGGCTGAAAAGCAAGCATATCTAAGATTCTGTTGATATTTTGTGTGTCTCCTTCCATCCCAATTTTTTTAGGCACACATTTTCCTTCAGTATATAATATCTTGCTTTTTTCACATAAATATTACCTCATCTAACTAAACCTCACAATATTTAGCATAATAACTAATGCCAGTTAGTGGACACACTCTAAAGATCTGTACACAGGATTTAAGGCATTATTCATGATATAAAAAGTATAAAGGCTAAAAAAGCATAATTTCATCCAAGTGGCTGTAAATGCTTGTTACAGGTTTCCCTGAAGTACACTCAGTGCATGTTTAGTTAGACACATACTTCAATCTCCTATAGATGGGTCACTTCAAAAACACTGGGCCAATCAATTAAAATTTAATAGAAACATGAAAAATAGATCTATTCCCCAAAGCAGCAGCCCAACTATATATTATTATACTAGACGTAACATAATTTGGGTATCAATTATAATGACAACAAAATATTCAGTTTATGACAGCCATTTATTCTGATATGTGTTGTCATACAGCAGAAAAGACTGGCTTTATTTATTTTATTCTCTCTTCATTAAGAAGGACAGATTGGCAAACAAATTAGAATAAAAATGACAAATTTCTACAAGGCTACTCTGTAACAAACACTTCTTGATGCCCCTGAACTTCAACTGACAGAACTGTACTGTTTTCCTAAGTGACAAGTTCCCCATAGAAGGGCATGAGAAGCTGAAAATAGGCTTTAGTCTCTATCCCTCCTGACAGTGCTGGGCAAAGAAATTAACTGAAAATAAGAATTATCTTCTTTAAAGAGTTTGAAGCACTCTAGTTAAAGATAAACTTTATCCCAATACCAGGGAGATGTGATAAGCATGTTAAAACCTGCCCAAAGTCTTAAATTCTTCCTTATTTAAAAAGTTGAAAACCATTATTAAAAACACAAATAGGCAAATTATGAAAGAAAAATATAAACAGAAATAAGCACATATAAGGATGGTCAGCCTCATTTTTATTTTTAACAATTTCAGATTAAAACAACAAGGAGAGAATTCTTCTTACGAAACTAAAAAGGACTTAGTACATTATCCTATCCATTATTGGCAAGAGCGCAAGGCAACAGGTGTTCTCCTATGCTGCACTGGTGGGAACAAAAACCAGCAAACTTTCTGGAAGATAGTCAGGCAATATGTAAGAAAAAGTATCCTCTGCTTCTCCTTTGACCCATATTTTATTATGGGTATTTTGTTATGAATTTAAAAGATTTACTTCCTCTTCCCCACACGCATGCCAATTCTTATTCTCATCTGTTCCCCACTGGTTTCACCCAACAGTATTTCTCCACCTGAAGCCATGAACGGATCTGTTAAAGGAAACAGACACGAGCCTCTGTGATGAAGTCCAGCTCGCACAGCACACCAACAGAACTTGCTGATCCAGGCTCGCCTGACCCTCCAGCCTTACCGCCCAGGAATCACCATTTCGCATAGCCCAGCCATGCCCATTTTTTTGGTGTTCCCTAAGAACTCATGCTACGGAGGTCCCTGTGCCTTTGCACTGCTCCATCCACCTGCCCTTCTTGCCACGTCTACCTCATCAACTCCTACTTGTGCTTCAGAATCTGCCCTGGCACCACCTCCTCTGCAAAACCTCTCCGCTCCCACCGCCTCACCAACAGGGAGTCACTGCCTGCTCAGTACTATCCCTGCATGCAGTACACACTTTCCTGCCACATTCTAACCACAGCTCACACTTGTATAGCGCTTACTGTGTAGCAGTCCCTGTCTGGGAATTGTACATACATCACCTCACTTGACCCTCACACCCATTCTATGAGCTGCATGCTCTTATTCGCTATTATGCTGATAAGGAAACCAAGGCACAGGAAGGATAAGGCACTCATCCAAGGTCACACACTAATAAATAGTGGATCTGGGATCTGAAACCAGAATCTGGATAGAGACCATGCCCTTAGCCACTCAGCCGCTGTATCTGACCGCTGTCTCTGAATTCTAACAGGTTGCTGGCTCTCCCTAAACAGAGCTGCTGTATCTAGTTTTCTGCAATTCGTCTGATTTTCCCTAGGACTTATCTGACACAGGGGAATTACTCCAAAAATAGTCACAGAACTGAGCCAGGCTATATAATTTTAGGCAAGTCCCTTAGGCCTCGGGATTGCAATTATGTCCTTACAAGGGAGGGAGTTGAACTAGGTGTTCCATAAGATTCTTTTCTCCCACTTTTCTAAAAGGAAAAACTACATAACGCAATGCTTATTTAAACTAAACATATCCTGTCCTTATAAAACCCATAATTCTAAACTTTAAATTTCATCAAAGAATTCAATTTTAGATGTATTATCAACAATTACAGTATGAACGCTAAATACAATGAAATGGAATATTTCAGACAGTGAAACATATAAACTCCATTAAAACAGCACAAGTTCTTAAAATACAATACCTTGCAGTCAACTTTTAACAAGAATTTTCCAAGCCCGATAATTGGCCAGGGTGCTAGAGCTGCCTGCCGCTCCTTCAGGAAGCGCTCCACGACCTGCCACCACACATAGCAGCGTTTCTCCATGAACTGCACAACTCCAAAGTGAATAACAAGCTTTTTGACTGCCCAGACTACAAAGAAGATAAGAGATACATACATAAACAAAATACAGATTACAACATCATACCGCAAAAGGGTCCCGTACGTAGTTCATGTGACCCTTTCTAAAACAGTAAAGCTGGTATGAAAATAAAGATCCATTTTTTAAAAAAGAAGGGGAAGAGAAGAAAGTTCAAGATAGTCCATATTGGTGGTACTGGGACAAATAGCTTATCACACAAGCCCCACTTGCCCATGTACTACCTGCTTGGTAGAGTCGAATCCCTGAGGTAGTCAGGGATTGTTTTATAGCCTATATAAATATCAGATACCAAGATCACAAAGGTTTCAGTGACTACAACCTTGGGTAAAGAATACTAACCCCTGACATGTCCTAATCTCCTTGGCTGTTAAGAGGTGCTATTGCCAAATTTTGTTCTTTCCCTTAGATTTTTGACGTTTAGTAACCAGATAATGTACTATATATACATGATTTTACACCACCACAGGTGACATTTTCATTTGTGTTCCTATTTCTCTACTTGATGATGCTCTATACATCTGAATCTTTTACCAGCGTTCCGTAGAGAAGCAGGCTGGCTACAAGCAGGGCTGCTACAGATGGCCCCTGAGGCTGGGCACTGCACACCTTCGGCAGGGACCATGCACAGACCAGAGTGTGAATGTACCCCCTGCAGCTGGGTAGTGTGGTGGCCCTTCCAGCGTGAATACAGCTTCTTGGTAAAGGTGGTGGGACTAGGAGGAAGTGTCACTTAGCTGCGAGAGTTCCCTGAAGTTCGGACTCTGGATAATTGATCCAACCACTATCATTTCCCTAACTCCAGGGATTTCTGTGTCCTTAGCCCGAGCCTTACAATCTAATGCTTCATAGTTTACTATTCTGAACCATAAGCTCAGTGCTACCTACCAGCTCGACAATTCCTTCATTAGCATTTTTAAATCTCTGGAGAGGTCCTAGGGAAGCTCCCCCAGTCTCTAGAATAAGCCCAGGGTATTTACAGGCTGTAGAAAACCTCTTGGGAGCCGCCCTGTTCACAGCCTGCTCTCCCAAAGCCATGTCAAGTTCCTGTGATGGCCTTGAGGTTAAGTGACTAGGACAAATGTAACTCCCGCTAACAAACTTTAAAGAAAAGGGGGTTCCAATAGCACCTGACACGTGATTTGCCAGGACAAAAGAAATCATCTGGCAAAACCAAAAAAGGTGTGGAGCAATCCAGACAAGCAAAGTAAACTGTTTCACTGAGCATTTCTATAGATTCCTTAATAGAAAGAATGGCTGTGGCATGTACTCTGTGACATGGTTAATTACAACTGTCCTTGCTCCAACTACCAAACAAAAGATCTGCCTGAGGATGAAAGCAGCAGATATAAACTTCAACCCCTTGTAGTCCGTGTTCCCTAAGGACGGGCACTACACAGTGTCCTGGTCATAGCAAGTCTTTAAAAAAATAGTAACTATTTAATTAAGTGTCCAATTTAATTAGAAAAGTAAGTTTGAAAACTCATGAACTAGAAGGTAAACGGTCCAATAAGTTTAGACTTTTAGACCATGGTAGAAAAAAAATTAGGCTTCCAAAAATCAGATTATGTTTAAAATCAATAGTGAAAAACCTTGATTAAGGAGACAAGGACTAATAAAATTTAAGATGTATCTGGCTGGCAAGATCCCGAGCATGAATTCATGACTTAATAAATTTGGCGTGAACTAGGACTGCACTAAGAAAAAAGCCCCAACAACCAGGAAAGGAGAACGGGCTCTGCTACAACACACCTGAGTCAGAGAAAACTCCTCCTTTCTCTTGCCGTTATTAGAAAGCACCTTTACAGAGAATCAACACAACAGAGGTAGGCCACAAATTACCATGGGACTCAGGTAAGCAGACCTAACTGAATGACTGATAAAAAGCCATAATCTCCATTTTGATATAATGCATATAATATATGTACATGTAATGTAATTTTCTGTCAGACAAGGGGGAAAAAAAAAATCAAGATTCTGCATATGTATATTTCCCAAAACCTACATTTCCTTTGAATTACAAACACAATGTAACATGCACTTCACTAACAGCAGCTCTCAAAATTCCATCATAAACCCCACAACTCAGATTGTTGTTAACATTCTCCCCAACAGAACCATGGATGGCCAAACAGTCAACTCTCCACATGGAACTATCAGTCTGTAACACCACACAAAATTAAAGAGGCTAAATACATTTTTGAGCTTTAAAGTGAAATCTTAAAGAAGTACCACATAATACATTTTCAAAATAATGTTTATGATTTAAATGCACACATCCTAGTGTTTTATTGTAAAAGAGAGTACAATTACCCGGAGTCCAATCCCACTTAACCAATCACCTGCAATAGGCACTGGCAGCAGCTGCATAATCCACAGGTTCAACCAGACCTGGACTCCGATGATGGCCCAAACAAGGGACACGAAGTAGATATCACTTGTTTTCTTCTTCCTAAGGAACGTTCCAATTTCAGTCCTTTGTCTGCCCAGAGTGGGTGAAGGGGAGGAGGGTGAAGAAGGCGAGGACAATGACGGAGGGGGTTCTCCTCTGTCCATGGTTTCTGAAGAAGGCAAGGAAAAAAAGAATCACCCACCACCTTCGTCCACATTAGTGAACAGTAATACAGAGAAATGCACGAAGCTACTCTATGATAGGCCTTCCAAATGTGCTCTCATAGGATGATTACGTGGCGTTAAAGAAGAACAAAAAGATTTGGACGTGTGTCTGCATATGTACTGAAAAATGTGTGGAGAATTAACAAAGCTGACAGCTAAAATCTATAGAAGCTAAGTTTGTTGAGGGGTAGGGTTGGGTATGGGGAATTTTTTAGTTTGTACTTCATACACTTCATACTGTTCAAGTTTTTTACAACATATATGTCATTTATTAATATATATTTATCATTTAAACAAAAAAACTAAAGAAAAATACATAACAAAAAGCTGAGAATTATACTTAGAAAATCATTCAAACCATATAAAGCAACAAATATTAGCATATAGTAGATAAAAATTCCTTCTCTTTTAATGTAACTTTATATTAGATGTATTTATATATATTTCTGACACAATATGGCTTTTTGTGTCACCTAAAATGAAGCCAAATGTTTTTTAAGAAGAACCCAGGACTTTGAAACAAGTCTTTCTTAAAATGAGATGTAAAACAAGATTGCTGAGGGTGAGGAATTTTCAAATAAAAGAAATCATACTGAATTACTTCACATGAGGCACTGTTTATTTACAATGCAACTGCTATATTTTAATAGAGGGTTATATTACCTCTATCTCCTAGTTTTACTAAAAGATACCATATATATCAGAAATCATATAACTGTTAAAGCAGTGTTACTCAGTATGTACTGTGATGATAGAAATGAGTAAGAGCCTAAAACTTGCATTTTGCCATCCATAAAAGAAGTCCATGACAAAAGTAAATCATATTTCTGAAGTCGAGGAAAAAAAAGAGAAAAAAACCGAGAACACCCAAAATACCGACTCCCTATCTGCCTCCTCGTCTTTATAGTTTTACATAGCTGTACCATGTTCCACTCACCCTTCTCCACTTTCTCAGCTCCAGGGCAGATAAGACCTTGTCTGCCTTGTTCTCCCGCCACTGAATTCCTAGCACACAGAACAGCACCTGACATATAGCAGGTGCTCACTAAATATCTGTTCAAAGAATGCCTTCCCTGTTATTTCAACATTGTCATAAGCAACTACACAGTAGCCAGCCCTCTCTGACTGCTACATCATCATTTCCTTAATGTTCCTTTTAACGGTAAATGTTGCGCTGTGAGTCAATTTTTACTAATGCTATAACTAGCACCATGGTAGGTCAGCCCACCTCACCAAATTAACATTCTACCTTGAGGTTAGAAGCTAAAGCCCCAGCGAGTTATAATATGCTTCTGGCTGATGCTGCTCTCTGAGTGTATTTCTAATTTGGAAACTTCATGTTGGTGGTTGTGGCAGACATTTAGAATAAGTCCGTAACCAAACCATCACTCCCTCTCTACTGTGAAGACATGATTCAATATTTAAGAAAAATAAGTTGTCCTACTATCCCAAATGCCTTTTCCTTAGCTGACCCCTTCCTTCAAGACTGTTCTAAAGTCAGTTCTTCAAGAAGAGCTCACCAAAAATACTCAACTCCAAAACCCCTGGCACTAATGGACCGCTTGGCACAGCAGAGATGGCCTTTTACATTCTTGAGCTCTGTGTGACTACGGTGTGACTTTAAAGCTGATAGAAATCTACCAGCTAGATCTCACAGGAGCGCTGAATTCGAAACAACCAGAGGAGTCTGTTTTAAGGGAAACAGTCAATATTTGATAGCACGAAGCATGCAAAGCAAACTTTGAGAAGAAAAGCAAGAAATGCCAGAGAAATGGAAGACTAGAAGATGGGAAATAAAAGCAAAAACAAAGATTTGGAAAAAGGGAACAACACACACACACACACACACACACACACACACACACACACACACAAATCAACATAGAAAGTTAGAGCAAAATAGAACGATGGAGGAGAACTGACCGTTATAGAAGAAATGGAAAATAAGAAAAGGATTAAGTGTGGGGTGTGGGGGGGATATAGACAAAGGTAAATGGGGCACTGAGAAAAGGAAAATAAAATGGGGCACTGAGAAAGGAAAGTGAGAGATAAAAAAAATAAGAAAAGCATTTTTTTAAAAAGGAAAGAATAAAATATCAAGATAAGAAACCTAAGAAGGTAAATAATTAAATGTCTGAAAAACGTGGTACAGGAGAACAAAGATGAGAGGAAACAAGTATAAAAATAGGATCAGAGAGAAAAACGAAGGCCCAGTGCATAGCATTTTGTGATGCTAGTGTCTTTGTTAATTTATATTCTGTGTGTATTTCATTTTCCGGAATGGTTCTGAAGGCATTCCTTCAGAAGGTGAGTCACCTGCAGGCTGAGCCGGGGGCTGGTCTTCCGTGCTTGATTCATACCCGGTGATAGAGATGGCCAAGGTGGCTAGAGTGGAAGCTGCCATGGAAATAACTTGCCCTGGCAACTCTGCCCCTGTAAAACAAGCATGCATTTAAAAACCTTTTTAAAGCAAATGAACAAAGTGGGAAATAACCTGCAACCTGAAACATAGTCCTAAGTTTCAACATTAATAAAAACGAAATGGTTATTGCTCACCCCCCCCCAAGACCAGTGGCTCTTTGCAAGGGAGAAAGATTCAGAATCAACAGGAAAGTCTGCTAACAATGCAGGTGGCTGGACTCTCTCTCTCTCTCTCTCATTTGGGAACTTCGTGCTGGTGCACGTGGCGGAGAGTGAATACAGAAACATGGAGTGCCATGTTTATATTTAACTTCACAGGTTACTTTTAATACACAGTTCTATTGAAAAACACTGCCACACCAAGTTTGTGAGCTTCCTGAATATAGACTGTCATACTCTCCTTTGTATTACTAGCTTGTAGTACAGTATGGGACAGCCCATACTTGGTGCTCTCAGTAATACTCCACGGATGAATATGCAAATGTATGAGTATTATGCCAAACCATATACATCTATAAAGTACATAATTCAGCACAGGCAAAATCCACCACTTGAAAATCTAAAAGAACAGCATTACCCTGTTTCATGTTATATGTTCCCATATTAAGTTCCTAAAAACAGGTAGTACACCAAGCTTAATCATTTGCACTACATTCAAATAAAATGTTTACTAGCCAATGAGGTCTGTCTGTAACGTCAGCCTTTAACTTGCTATGGCAGACAACACAGACTAGCTTACACAATACCAGGTTCTAGGATGCTTTCCTGTCCCCGAGAGACTAGAAAGCTAAAGACTGTGTTTCTTGGATTCCAATGCAGATGAGGTCCCACATGTGATGCAGTTTCTACCAGGCAGGCACACCTGCCCAAGACCTGGGAGACGGAAGGCACACAGCTCTCGTGTCAAACACAATCACAGAGACATGTGGTTTTTCTGCAGAATTTAACAGAAGTTCCAGAGGTTCGATCTCTACAGAGTTTGATCTCTAACTTGGTGGCAGGCAGCAGCGGCTATGGCACGTCTGCTCAGACAGTCCTTTGATGTCACTGAGCATGTCTCCTGATTGTCCTGCTTCTGCCTGTGTCAGATCCAAGCTGAATCGTATGGGCGTTCCAAAAATTTCATATGCAAAAATTCTATATCAATACTTCTTTCGATTTAGACTAACCAGTGTGGACTCCAGTGTCCACAGCTAAGAACACTGACCATTCCCAGTCACCAAATCACACACCCACACTCATACGGCTGGCACCTTACTTTTGGGAGGCCAACACTCGATGTGACAACATAGAATTCTGCAAGCCAATGAAAAGAGCCATGGCTCTTCATAAGGCCAGTGTATTTCAGCCAAATGAACTCCACATACCCAAGGAATGCAAGACTGGCCATCGCTGAGAGATAAGCAGGCCAGGGCCTGAGACGGCTCTCCGCAGGTTCAGTCATCGGGACCCAGAGCACTCACCTTGCTCAACCATATGCCACCCCTCCGCTAGTAACGCCTCTGTGACCGGAAAGAGATTCTTTTCAGGCAATTCAAGGGAATCTCAAACTCCTGATCTGGGAAGAGAGCAAGATTTCTAGATTTGGACCTATTCTCCTGGCCTAAGTATCCTAAGTATCTAAGGTGCTTCTTAGATGCCAGTAAGAGAAAAATGGCCAAGACAGGGTCTTTCACGTCTTAATGTTCTCTTTACTCACTGTGATGGATGCTGGGGATAAAGACACAGATAAAGAGGCAAGTGGGAGAGACAGATACAAATTAAAGAACCACACAAACATGAATGTGTACAAACAATAATGATTGCTATAAAGGACAAATACTAGGTATTTTATGAGCTCTGATAGAAGAAATCTGACTTAGTGTGGAGAATCAGAAAGGCTTCTCTTAAGAAGTAAAAACGAAGCTGGTATACAAAGGATGAAAAGGAAATCACCTAAAAATGTAAAGACTAATATTTTGGACAGAAGAAAGCAAAGAGGAAGGCTGTTAAGTGAAGAATCTGGCATGTTAAAAACAGTGAAAGAAGGTCAGCGTGTCTGGAACAGACAGCTAGTAGAAAGCTGGTATGGACTACACAAAACTCGGGACGGTAAGCCAGACAGTGGCAAGCTGCAGAAGACCACAGTAAGGACTTCAGTCTTTATCCTATCCTGAAGAGTGTCAAACAGGATAATAATTATGTTTTACAGAAATTTTATTGAGATAATTGTAGTTTCCCATGCAGTTGTAAGAAATAATACAGAAATCCTATGAACGCTTTATCCAGTTTCCCCCCAATGGTAACATCTTGCAAAACTGTGGTACAATATTACAATCAGGATATCGGCATGGAGATAAGATACAGAACAGCTTCATCACTGCAAAGATCTCTCCTGCTACCCTCTTTTAACCACACCCACCTCCCCACTCCAAAACTAAATGATCGGCATTGAGATATAAAAAGATCATTCTCACTGTTCGGTCAAGACCAGATCAGAAGAGACCAAGAATGGGTACCGGGAGATAAATGATTGCAGTATTACAGGCAGGACACATTGACAGCATGCTCTGCAGCGATGAACAGGGGAGACGTTGAAAAAGTGGGTGTATTTAAGAGACATGGAGTAAGTGGACCAGACTTGGTGATGAACCAATAAGGGGAATGAGAGATGAAGGTGTCAATGATGACCCCGAAGTTTCCAGACTATGGTTCGATAGATAACAGGTAGGGGAAATGGATGGAGATTTTTGGACACAGAAAAGTTCTTTTTAGACTTCCAGGTAGAAGTTTCAAAAACAAACTGATTACACCAGAGGCAGAAGAGGACCTAGTTTCCTGTGCACCCAAGAGAGATTTCTCAGGTTCCACTCAAAAGCAAAGCTTGGAAACACCTAATGATTAATGGCCTGGGACAGAAGAGTAGAAAAATAAATATTTCCAGTCAAAATTCAAAAAAACAAAGTATTCTCTCTTACATAAGACTGAAGACTAGTCAAGGGTCCTGAATTACTAAACCCACCTCTTCACAAGTAATTTAATAAAGTGGTGACTCATCTTTGAAAGACTCTGAAAAGTAAGTACCTTGATGGCTTTTTTTTAAGTAGCTCTAAAATAACAAGATCACTTTATAGCTCCTCAAATATAGACTTCCAGTTCGGCTGCTTTTTGACCGGGGGTGCCAAAAAAATGTATACAAGTGGACACTTTGGTCAACGTTGCTCAAGCAGCAGTTCGCAGTAATCAGAAGTGTCTGGACGCTGATGGGAACCACTTTGAGTTTCTCTTGTAATTGCAGAAGTCAAATGTGACTTGTATTCATCTTTTGTTATCGGTATATATTGAATATTACAATTTTAATCATTTTTTTCCTTTCTTAAAATGTGTGTATATATATTTTTCGCACCCTCTATATTTCTAAACTCCCACTAAGCATTCATCACCAAACAGATGACCAGGCTATGTGCTCAGATAAGAAACTAGGACACTAGTATCAAGCTCAGTCTAATACTTAAACTATCGGTTAAGATTCAGTAGGTTCAGAGCTAATGTAAAGGTAAGTGTAGCATATTTTGGGAGCACAGAGGATGGAAACACAATCCATACTCGGGAGGTCAGGGAAGGGTTTCCAAACGTGCTGACATGACTGAAGGATGGTTTAGAGGTGCAATCCTTTAAATCCATTTAAAGAGGTTAGCCAGATAAAGAAGACGGAACAAGTATATCTTGGGGAGGAAGGGAGAGGCAGGGTAGAAAACTTTCTAGGAACACAAAAAACAGGTCTAAAGATACACAGGCAAGAAAAAGCCAAGTGTGCTGTTCAAAGCACTCTAAGAAGTCCAGAAAGGCCAGAACATGGGGTACGGTGAGAAGAGCAGAAAGATATGAGGATGAGAGGGAGAACGGGTGGTCTCACAACGGAGGCAGTGCAATTTCGTGGCTGGGAGCACAGGGAAGGAAACGAGACTGCCCAGGTTCAAATCCCAGGTCTACTCCTTACCTGATGGATGACTATGAGCAAGATACTTAACATCTAGGTGCCTCAGTCTCCTCACGTGTACAATGGAGTTTATATAACTTCCTATCTCAGGTGAGAATTAGGTGAAACATTAATAGAAAAAGACTTGAACAATGCCTGGTATGTACGGCTCACTCAATGACTGTTAGCTATGATCATCATCATCTATATCATAAGTATTGGCTCTGACAGTATAAACTATAAGCGTAAGTCACTAGCACTCCCACAGTATTTGTCTGTACCCCTCATTCCCTACTTCATATTGTAGTCCTTTCCTTAAGTCTATCCCCCTTAGCACACATTTTTTTATCTCCCACAGGGTCATGCAACATATGCTGCCTACAGTAGGCACTGAAAGACTTTGAGGAAAATATCAATAAATTTAAACTTTCACAACAATGGCTTATTTTAAATACTGACTCTTTCTCCAACTTGCTGGTGTCATTAAAATACACAGTAAATACTCAATGAATCAGCGCTAAATCAATGAAAACTACGCAATATCATCCTAGTTAACACACAAATGAGTCAGCACATTTTTAGAGTGCCTGAAACTTCACACAGAAAGGAAAGAACAGCGCGCAGAGAAAATCAACAAGGAGTATCTGAAAATTACGGACGTAAGATTTGGGAACTGATCTTAACCAATGGATAGGCATTTTAATGACTTCTGTCTTAGTGACATCCTCCTGTGCTTCAAAAATCCCACAGGGTTTTGGGCAGAAGGATGATAAACCAGATGGAAAAATTGCAGGACTGAGAATCTAGGCAAAGTTATGGTATTGGCAAAAGAAAAAAAAAAAAAAGCCCCAGCTAAAAATAGGAATGGTAGACAAGGCAACATAATCCTGGGACCCAAGGACTATAAACAAAACAAGGAAAGAGCATCCAAGGTGTCAAGTGTCAAGCTTCCCAGGGCCAGGGCCAGCATCAAGTGCAGGCCCGGACATCAGGGACCCACACACATCCAAAGCAGCAGGCCACTGACAGCAGCTGAGTACCAGGGGACAGAAACTCACAGTCTGGCACGTAAGAAACAGATTGTATGTTCAAACAGTATCTGCTAACGTGGCTAACTCAGCAATGGGCAGAATAACATTTTTCAAAATCAAGGGAAAATACATTTTGAAACCAGTCTAAATAAGGAGATACTTGATCTACTTTGTTCTCTTCCACAGGGATAGTGGCAGCTGCCAGAAATACATCCAAAGATGCTTCCTGGAAGGAGTCCCTGCATACCAACTAAAACGTCCCCGGCATGCACGGCTCCCTGTGAAGAAGGCTTGTGTTTCCATCTAATGTGGAAAATACATCTCAGTGGCTTCCAGTATCACTTCACTGTACTGCTGGTCAGGAACAAGGGCGTGGATATGGACCAGTAGGAGTTTCTCCAGGTCTATTTTACCGACAGTGTCAGAACTGGGGAGTGAGAGATGAGCGGTAAAAAATTTAGTTTGTTCCTTTTCTTTTTCCAATTCGGGCTTAACTTGACCAAACTGTTCACTCATATTGCATATTATCGTAACACGGCTAAGGCAACTACCAAGTCTTCTTGCAAAGATATTTCCGGTCATTCACAAACAATCACCAATGGTGGGAGGAACAGACCCAGTTGTACTGGCCCATACTGCTCAGGCTGAGTGTCCAGGCTGTTAAAGATACATGTGCTATATGTGCCTCGCTTTTAAAGAAGCATTTTTCAGAGTAAATGGCTCTCTAAGCCTAAATTTCTTCATCTGTAAAATAAGTATAATACCAATCTCACTGGATTGCCAAGAAAATTAAATGAGACAGCGTGTTTAAAGAGGCAAACAGGGCCTCGCCCACACTGCCATTGCTAACAATATGCTAGGGTTCCTTTTTTCTCACAGGCCATCACAGCTGGATTCCAGGTTTCAACCAAGTGAGGCTTCTGGGGCCCGGAGACGGAGAAGCTCAGTCCTGCAGCTGTGCTAAGTCGACAGGGCCCGCACGGGAGCCTGAAGCCGCCTGAAGCCGCTGGCTGCAGCTGAGAGCAAGAGGGTCAGCATTCAGGACCTTTTCAGGATGACTGATGTCTGTTCAGAGAGCCTGGTGAAGGGAAAGAACACCTGACTGACGGTCAAGGGCCAAGGTTTATATCTTAGCTCCAGCAGGGGGACTGGAAGCAAGTCAGTTAACCTCTCGAATTAAATGTCTTCATCTGCAAAATGGAGATAACCATTTTTATAAGGTGTTGGGGGGTTGCTTTCATTTGTGAATTTAAAAAAGATAGTACATTTAAAAACATGGTGGACATTTAGCATTTTCCCCCTATATTATCTTGGGGTTCCAGGAAATACCAAGTCAGAGCTGCCAAGGTCTGAGAGAAAACCACGGACTAAGGCCCCTGGGTTCAGAAGGAACCACTGACACTAACTCAGCAGTGATCCAACAGAAGAGTTTTCCGGACCTAGAAATGAAACAAGCTCATGCTCTGAATTCTGATGAAATCCAACCGATTAATTCTATGAATCCAGTGAACCACAGATCATAAAGTTTCTACACATCAAAAGAGTCAAAGCTCAGAAGACACAGAGACAGATGCCTATACTGGTGACCAGGACAATGCGACAGTGGGAGTGACAGGAAGGAATGAATGCACATGGCAGAACACTGAACCATCCCTGCACCTAACTAGATCACAGTGACATCTATAGGAGGGAACTGGCTGTAATAAAAGGGGAAGTGTGTGTGTCCCAGGATGGACTAGATGGTTTGAGTTCTTATGCCCAAAAGAAACAAAGTTCTAGGGACAAGAGGAAAAAAAACTTTCAGAAATGGGGGGGGGGGGGGAGTTTTAAAAGATTTATTTTATGATGATAATGATCTTGACTAGAAGTCCATAAAAGGATTCTAGATCAAGAATAACTTATTCCTAAGTAAGAAAAGCCAACATTTCCAAATCTGCTGTCAACATTTATTCTGGGATTTGCTTCCTTATAATAGTCTAGAATCCGAATACTAGAAATCTGGCTTGCTTGCCAACACACCACTATCCTGGGTTTATGCCTGATAATAATAATCAAACATGGCTCAAACCTTGGTCTTAGAATTCTTGTCCTCACAGCTCTCTAGGCTGCCATCATCAGCTGGCTAGAATTTACACCGAAAAGAAAACTCACCTGAAGCCTTCAGTTTAGACCTACATTATTTATATACTTGCAGTAAAGTAGTTGCTTAGCTCTGGACAAAGGCAGTCAAAAAGAGAAAGCTGTCCTGGGGTTAGGGGTAAGCAGGGCTGTCTGCATCCCTCCTGCTTGGGGAAAGGAAAAAAGAGAAGGAGATAAAGCTAACCAGAGAGACAAATGGAGACCACCAACCCTTCTACAGTAGGTGCCAAAACAGTTAGTTTACTTCTCCTGGTCTGACAGATAACCACAGATGGTGCATAGGAAGACAGGCTGAGCAAAGAAAACTTAGAAAGACAGCAAAATGTAAGATAAAATCTTTCCTATTTTCTACTATCAGAAAGATAATTAAGGTTTCTTTGTTTCAGGTAGTTATTTTAAAATTCTAAACTCTTTATGAACAAGATGTCTAACAATTGTCATACATTACTCATTTAACAAAAAAAGAGCAGCTTAATTTTTTAAAAAAGACTTCTATAAGGTGTCTGTACAAATAACCCCAGTGTCTCAAATAGCCTTATAATTAGCATAAAATGAAGATGCTAAAAATAATGTTGTAGAAATATAGTCATCAACATAGAAAGGCACTCATGACATAATTAAGTTTAAAATGTGGGTTACAAAAGAGAATGTTCACTATGATCCAGTTTTCATGTGTTCTAAAAAGTCTGAAGGCATAAAAACCACTAGTAAACATTTTGGTATAATCTGTGGGCCATGGAATTTTGAGTAATTTCTATTTTCTTCTTTTTGTTTCTCTGTATTTTCTAACTTAACAAACTGATAACCTAAGAAATTAATTTCTTTTAAAAATCTGCTAAAGTTAGTAATTTGCTCTTTTAGTTTATGTATAACCATCAAAAAGAAACAAGGAACAAATGTGTGTCACTGTAGTAACTGTGTGCTGTTCAGTTACCTCTCCAGTCTGATGATCTGGGACCATTACTGTATCTGGCCCCCCCGACTCCCACCCCCCTACAGCTCCGTAGAAATCTGTATCTTTAACAAACTGTACCTGGATACAGGCCACTTACAGCCAGGATGCCTCAAAAATAATCTTTAAAAGAACATGGTGCATATTCAACATTGTACTAGTTCTCACCAGAGCAATCAGTCAAGAAAAAGAAATAAAAGGCATCCAAATTAGAAAGGAAGAAGTAAAACAATCTCTATTTGCAGATGTCATGATCTTATGTATACAAAATCCTAAAGAATCCACAAAAAAACCATTAAAGCTAATAAACAAATTCAGCAAAGTTGCAGGATACACGATCAACAGGGGTAAATATTCATGACCTTGGATTTGGCAACGTTTTGTTAGATAGGAAGCAAAAGCACACACCACCAAAAACTTGGAAATTAAAAAATATGTGGAAACTTAACACACTTCTGATTAACCAATGTGTCCAAGAAGAAATCAAAAGGGAAATCAAACAGTATCTTGACTCAAAGAAAATGGAAACACAACATATTAAAATTTATGGGATGCAAAAGGAGTTCTAAGAGGGCAGTTTATAGATATAAATGCCTACATTAAGAAAAAAAGACATCTAAAAAAAAAAAAAAAGAAAGAAAAAAGACATCTCAAATAAATACCCTAACTTTACAGTTAGTCACTTACTGGGTAAAGGGTTTCCTTTTGTGGTGATGAAAATGTATTGTAACTAGATGGAAATAATGATTGCACAACACTGTGAATGCTCTAAATGCTATTTTAAAATAGTTAATGGTTAATTTTATGTCCTATAAATTATACCAGCAATAAAAAGTAGCAAAAAGAAGGGGCAGGTGATGTATGGTCTAACAACTTAAAGTATTTTAAACAAATTTATTATTCAGAAAACACCCCTGGTTTTTAAACAGATTTAAAGCCATTTCATCATCCCATTTTTATTTTTAAATCAAGCTACTCTCCCAAATATTTCTTAAGAGTAATATTAATAGAATGCCCTAGTTCTTACCAGAAGACTCTTTTTCATTCTGTTTTTCATAGAGGGTGCCCACAGACATCAAGAACACAATAACGAGGAATACTGGAATTCTCCATGAGCCAGCCAGGGACGCTGTAAATTATTAAGAGTTAACATTTTTAGTGAAATAAAAACCTAGTACTTGTTTTTAAAAGACTCAGTTTAGTAGACTGACAGAACAAATTGGTATATTTGTTAAGAACAAAATTGTTTCACAGGGAAATTAAAAATATAAATAAATAAAGGCCATCGAACAGATAAAACTTCAATTCAGGGTTTCTCTCAGTAAATCCAGACCTGCTGTCAGGGGCCACTGGTCTGAAGGACTGCGCATGTTCTAGCCTACCTTGAACGGGCTTGTATCACCTGAGGAACCAAGTCCATTCTAAAGCAGATCCAGGGTTTAAGACCATCCCAAACACAAGCCCCCCATTTAACCCCAGAATGACTTGCATCAGGCATAGGGCCTAAAGACACGCAGCCTGACTTGACTTCCTGAAAATATCGCTGGATGAGAACGCTCGCTCAAGAAAGGGTGGAATGGCCCAAACAAAGGAGCACAACAAAAAGCTTTAATGTGCCGTCCTTAGTGTATAACACAAAAATGCTAACAAGTGGCTGAGGATCAGGTCTCTACCCATTAGCCACTTGCATTTCCTTGAGTTTGTCTAGAGCTTCTGCCTTCCTCAAATTCAAAATGAGTCACATCAGACATTAGGGGATCTTGCTGATAAACTCCCCTAGCAATCCAAGTCAGTAAAGCTAAAGAGTAAAGCTTTAATCAACACCAGAGTCTAAGCAGAGACATATTTTCTTTTTTTTTTTCTAATAATTGGAACCCTTTACTCCCACAGCAGCTTTGTGTGAGATATCTGTCAACACATCACAGTCATTGTCATAAATACCTGCCAATGAAATGTACAGAAAATGCAAAGTAACCCATTTGTCACAACTCAGAGCACAGTGTTCATTCCAATCTTTTGGAATGAAAATAGTTAATCCCAGATGCTTATTCTTGGATCAGCTTGGACAGTTCTCCTGAAAAGTGACATTAAGAACTAATTCCATGTGCTCCTGCAAGTCAGCAGAGACATATTTTCAATCACCTATGTTTTTGTTTTTATTTTTGTTTTTAACAATAAGTACCTCTAAAAACCTCCTTTAAATAGGCTATCTACTACTGCTCCAGGTTACTGAATTTTGTTTTTAAATTAGAACTTAGTGTTTCCATAGGCTCAGAACTGAAGATAAAGAATCCCTGAAAAAAAAAAAATCACTCTACCACATCCTAGCAGCCACTCAGCTAACAGTACAGACTCAAATAACTGGGAACTCATTATTTGGAGCAGCCCTGACACTGATTATTCTCATGTTGAACAGAGACTTTTCTCTCTGAAGCTACGCACTGCTCTAAAATCTCTCCTTCATGGTTAGAGATCTGTTTAAACTATTCGTTCACAGGACTGTTCCTCAAATACTCGAAACAAGCTTCCAAATTTTACATCCTTCTTACCTCCACCTCTCCCCACACCTATAGCCCAGTTCCCTTCTCTTATCCAGAGCAAACATTTCTGGTTCCTTTAATTGTTTCTCACACAAGATTTTGAGCACCTCTTATCATCCTTGACTGCTTATCTATATCCTCCTTAAGTATGACACTCAGAAATGGTCATATAGTCCAAGGGCTCTACTTTTTAAGATATATTTATTTTTAAAAGACCTTTGGGAAAATGAACATTCAATATAATTAAAAGATAGACATCTTAAAGCACAACATTTTCATGAAAGATTAATAAAAGATTAAAGCAGAACATTTTCTAAAGATTATTTTAAAGAATTTTAAATGCAACATGTAACACTATAAACAATTCACTTTGATTTGCATGGTCAGCCACTGCTGACCTTAAGCCAGACTTTCTTAGAAAAAGAGACCCACCTAAATGAAAAAGCAATATAATCCAGACAGGAATTGAAACTGCTCTCAAGTAGCGTTCAGTGCTTGCATTCCACTTGAATGAAACAGCCAACACATAGCCAACTACCAACGTCCAGATCTTAAATAAATGAAATATAGACACAGTTGTAAAATATATACACATGAAAATAAACATACAATTTTACCAAATATGCAATCATCTATATAGCATGAGAACTATGGATACAATACATATAAGATGAAGTTTGGTGGTGCTAAAAGGAATATATGTGGGATTTCCTCTTCTGTTCAGCTAAATCAAGTTTTTTTGGGGAGGCACATCTAAATCTTTTTTTTATTAGTTTCAGGTGTACAAAGCAACGTAATAGTTAGACATTTACACCCCTCACAAAGTGATTAACCCCCCCAAAATACTACCCCACTGACTTCGTATATAGCTGTTACAATACCACTGACTATTGAAATAAACAAGCATTTGAAATCCCATGTAGTGATAGTAAATATTTTAAACAAAAACAAAATATGTAAATAGTTTTAATTTAAGATATCTCAAAGTTCAGAAACTACTGTATGCATAAAGATACTTAAGATGAAATATTCAATCTTTAAGCCATGAACTTAAGAGCTTAATCTTGTTGCATTCTTAAGGTTTTTCTCTATAATGTTTAGAAAAGAAAAAAGAAGAAAAGCTTTCTGAAAAGAATCAGGTTAAAGGATTCCATTTCAAACTATGAAATATGTTTATTACAGTGAAAAGAATTTTTCGAAAGCTTAAAGGAGACAACCAGCTGAAGTGTGACCCTGATGAAATAATCTAGGTAATGGATGGTTAGACCCTAGTCCACAGTTATATGCACAACTGAAGACGTGTAGCTGAAAAAATATTGCTAGAGGAAGCAACAGCAAGACTTGGGAACACAGGAACCAGCCAGGGTCCCCTCCTCAGTTTTCCCCACACTAAAACTAAATGGCTCTATCTAACACTGAGGGAAGCATCAGCATAGCCTACACAGAAACTCTCTAATAACCTCATATTTTAATAGAAAATTTACAAAATATGGAAGGAATATAGAATCCAGAACAAATGTGAGCACCAAGATCTTATGAAAATGACCTAAACCAGGAGGGGGGGAAATTACAACAAAAAAAGAACATTAAGCTATAATTCAGAGAATGAAGAAAAAGGAACTGATATGATTACTACAAAACAGAAAAAAACTACCTTCTATTTTATTTTGGTCATATCTATCAATAAAAATAGTCTTCAGGTCCTAAAAATGTTTATAACTTCTGGCCTGAGAATTCAGCTTTGGAACCTTACTAAATAATGATAAATTCTATAAAAAGAAGCTCATCAGACTATTATTTAGAATACAGAAAAGCTGAGAATCTATAAATTCAACAACTGGGAAGTGGTTAACTATGGATGATTCAATAAAATGTTATGTAACCATTAAATAGGTTTTTGTAAACAAAGACTATATAATTAAAAGTATTTCTAAGAATATTAAGGAAAAAGCAAAACACAACATAATTATATCTACTGCACGGTGGAGGGTAAAGGAAATGTAAAAAAGAAATACTTGGATGGTTAAATTTTGATTTTTCCCTTTTACTTTTTTCTGTATTTTCCAAAGTGCCTTTAATGAGCACTAATTCTTTTATAATGAAAAGATATTAAAATATCCTTCTTCGAGCGACTCTATTAGACGAAATATTACAGAGATCTTAAGCCCCAGGTAATATGAGATGAGAAGTGAGACTATAGCTGCTTCAAAAAAGTTCAGGCTTGCAGGGCCACACAAATTTAATCCTGAGAATTCACAGAATCTGAGATATGACCATGGAGCTCAGAACAAAATGCGAGTATAATAATAGCACACTTATATAACGCTTACTATGGGCCAGGCCCTGCTCTGGTTCTTTATATATATGAACTTATTGAATTCCCATAACCCCAGGAAATAAGTACTATTATCACCCCTATTTCACAGATGAAAGAAACTGAGACTTCGTCAGGCAGTGACTTCCAAGGTCACACAGCTAAAAAGTGACAGCCAGGATCAGAACCCAGAAATCTGGCTCCACAGCCTGCTTTCTTAACCATAAAGAGAAATAAGGGTGGTGCTAGAAAAATAAAGAAGAGGAAAAGTGGCTCCAATATTCACAAGGGAAAATAAAAACAGTTGACTCTGGCAACTACAAATTGTTGAAATAAGTGATTCTCAGCAAACAGATGGTCTTCAGTAGCATGCTACAGAGTAATCAGCCCCACACTATTAAACATTAAGCTCAGTAATTTAGAGGAAAGACTAGAAGGCATATTAATCAAACTCGTAGATTACACAAAATTAGGAAGAGTCAGTAAAACCTGAGGTGACTATGATTCACAAAGATATTCTGAAGTTAAACGAGATAATTCAAATAAGATTAAATTTAATAGAGAAGACATGCAAAGTTCTACTTTTAGATTCAAAACTCAACTGCACAAGTATAGAACGGCATCCAACTAGTGTTGAGTGCCTATTAATAAAAGTACAATACTCTTATCAGGGTAAGTGGCTGTTTTAATGACTTTCGCATTATTGAACCACATCAGCAATAAAATTCGAGCTGAGCAAAGAACTGGAAATCACAACATAGGAGATACGGATACAGCTGGGAGGAAAAAAAAGCTGTTTTATCTTAGAAAAGGGAAGGAAATGTCCAGATTTGATAGCTATCTTCAAATAGCTGGGGAAATACCATCTGGGGAAGGCATCAGGCTTAATTGTCTATGGTTCTGACAGCAGAAATAGGTGGGATAATGAAGTAACACATTTTGGCTCAACAGGAAGATAACTCTTTCTAACCAACTATAGCTATCTAAAAATGGAATAAGCTACCATCACCACATGTGAGCAAAAGCTGGCCATACGTCAGGGATGACAAAGCAGGAAAGCCTGCCTTCGGAGAGCAGCTGAAATAGAGGATCACAAGAGGTATATACTTTCTGATTTTAAGCCTATGATACTTTTAACCTCCAAAAAGTTTTTGTTTCTTATCTGTACTTCAAAATCGGTATCACTTGCAGGGAGAGAAAAAAATAAGGAAGAGACTGCATACTTAAGATTTTTTAGGAGAAAAACATGGTCTAAAGAAAAGCATGTGTTTTCACCTAGTAAACCTGAACGCAACTCACTGATAACCTCATTTCCGTTTAAAGTAACTTTACGTTGGAGAGGTTGTGGAGAAAAAGGAACCCTCATACACTGCGCCTGGGAATGTACTAAATTGGTGCAGCCACTATGGAAAACAGTATGGAGGTTCCTCAAAAAATTAAGAATAGAATTATCATATGACCCAGCAGGCCCTCTCCTGGGTATCTACCCCAAAAATCTGGAACCATTTATCCATAAAGATATATGTACCCCTATGCTCACTGCAGCATTATTCACGGTGGCCAAGACATAGAAACAAGTGTCCTTTGACAAATGACTGGATAAAGAAGATGTGATAGAAGTACACAATGGACTACTCAGCCATAAGAAAAGATGAGATACTGCCATTTGCCACAACATGGATGGGTCCTGAGATTATCATGCTAAGCGAAATAAGTCAGACAGAAAAATCAAGAACTATATGACTTCACTCATGTGGGAAATAAAACGGAAAGCAACAAACAACAAGACAAACAAAACCTCACAGACACAGACAACAGTTTAGTGGTTACCAGAGGGGAAGAGGGGATGCAGGGGGTGGCAGAAGAGGAAAAAGGGGGTCAAATATATGGTGATGGAAGGAGAACTGACTCTGGGTGGTGAACACACAATGCAATCAATATATAGATGACATTTTATAGAATTGTACACTTGAAACCTATATAATGTGACTAACCAATGTCACCCCAATAAGTTTAATTAACAAAAAATAAATAAATAAATAAATATAAAGTAGATTCAGGAGCTCTTCAAAAATAAAGAAAAAAAAATAACCACTTAAATATACTCCTCAATTCCACTTCTGGGGATTTGGTTCACAGAAGCACTATACACTGTGCAGATATAAAAATGTTCACTGTGGTAGTTTAAAATATAAAGAAATTGGGCCAGCCGAGTGGCTCATTGGTTAAGAGTTGGCTTAGGAGAGCAAGCTCTGAGCAGCAGGGCCTCCAGTTCAGATCCCACATGAGGGCCAGTGACGCTGCCCTCTACAACTAAGATGGTGAACAACAGCTCGACCTGGAGCTGGGCTGCCGTGAGTCACTGGCGACAGCATAGGCTGCAGTGAAGCTGCAGTGGGTTGCCGTAAGCTACCGTGAGTGGCTGGCAGCCAGTAAAAGCTGTGAGCCGCCGTGAGCTGCCGTCCAATGGTCGGCGACCAATCTGCCTCAGCCGGGAAGAGCGCAATGATCACAATATCAACATGGGCCAGTGAAGCAACACCCTCCACAAATAGACTGAAGAACAAAAGGACAGCAACTTGTCTGATCCCCTTCTCTGACTCCCCAATGCTGCTCCCTCCCCCCATTCCCCAATAAAATCTTTTAAAAAAATAAAATAAAATATTAAAAAATTGGTAACAACCTAAATGTCATTTTATAGAGGACTATTTAAATAAAGTTATGTCCAAAAAACAGAACAATTATTCAGACTTTCAAAGGTGTAATATCTATACCCAATGACAATATAAATTCATGCAAGTGCAAATTTATAATGGTGAAAATAAACTAACCAAAATGTTAAAAAATGTTATTTTTGGATGGTTGGATTTCAGGGGGTAATTTGCTTCTTTATGCATTTCTTCAAGTACTGAATTTTCTCCTAAAGGTTTTATTTTTATAAATAGCAAACTTTAATTTAAATTTTCAAATACAGTTGACAGTCAATATTATTTTATATTAGTTTCAAGTGTACAGCATAGTGGTTACACATTTATATAATTTACAAAGTGATCCACCCAATTAGTCTAGTACCCACCTGGCACTATACACTGGCCTTGTGTTTTTAACTTAAAAAAAAAAACAAAAAAAACTCTTTTGACCTATGGTTTTTTTTTTTTCAATATTTTGAAGTAATTGTTCAGAAGAGTTACAGAATATTATTAGTTCAAAAAATATGGTCATTTATAAAAAACACT